TCCAATTTTGTTCACACCACTACCAGCATAAGCACACACCTCAAACTGGAACACAAATTATAATACACCATGGCCTGCTCTGTTCCTTTAACTTATCTGCTGAGTGCTGGTGGAGAGTTATAAAAAAATAGCCCTCCTACCCCAAACTCACAAAATTATAAAGTATCCTGTGATGGGCAATTGTAGGTATAATACACATTGCTACATTGTATTTCTTTAAACTGCAACTGTTTCTTTAACTAATAACCTTTTACCTATTTACAGTACACAACATGTTTACTCCATCTTGTCTTAATTTAATGCAATAACAATTCAAGGCTTTGCCTATGTCATCCTAACTTCTAGTCCAAATACAGATTAAAGATGTCTGGGTTATGACATTAGACTGATAAGGGTGTTTTTCTTTTATTTTTATATATGGACTGCTTTTAACCTTAAGATGAATTAACCCATACATTACCAGTAGTAATTAGAAATGCTATACTATATATACATGCATGATCAATGCTAGATAGAGACATACTGACCGACTCTGGAGGTGACATACTGAGAGATTACCTGTATAATCAGGAGGGTATGTTATACTAATACTTTATATTGCAAGCATTTATTCATTTAATCTTATATACTCTGCTTTATGATATTTTAATGGATCTTTATTCATTTATTCAATAAACTATATTAATAAGACAAAAGTTATTGCTTCCAACTCCTATTTTTATTGTATTCTCAATTATTTATGTATTTTAAATAGAGAAACTCTATACCGACTATACAATATTTTAGCTAAGATATCTGTATGGTTAGCCCTGTTAAATTCTAAGTTATAAGACGTTATAGCGGTAAATTGGAGTACGAACGGTTACAATTGGTGCCCAACGTGGCGTCTCTTATGAAAAGAGACACAATTCACAGCGAAGTAATCGCCAATGTGACGTGTTCTGGTATTCCACAAGGAACCTATTGGAAACCATACCCAAAACCGATTATACACAAGAAACAAGTGATTGGACTATCTCAAATTCTAATACTAGACTCATCAGTGATGGCTAAAGATGCTGGAATTAGAAGCGAGACGGGACAGATGCTTGTCAAAGAAACTTTGGATGCACATATGAAGGTGATTCAAGAAAAGACTTTGCCATATAGTTTACCATTGGATGACTATCGCAAACAGCCTTCTTATGCTGAAAAGATGTGCTATACTAATTTTGGACATTGCTATTATGTTAATTTCCAGTCAAACAGAAGATGGCCGGAATCAGAAATAAAGGCTGATCACTGTCCACGTCCAGGTATTACTCAAGATGGAATACAATACAAAGAATACCTAATTGATTATCTAAGCACCTCTCAGTATAAGACACAGATTTTTACCTACAATTCAGAAAAAATTGGTTACTGGGAAGGAGCAGAAGAAGAGGAATATAGATTTCCTGGTGGAGTGAGAAACCACACTGGAACCATATTCTGTAGTAATGAACTTTATAATGACTCATGGTGGCGTGTGAATTTGAATTCAGATGAAATACATCAATTAGTGAAAGAAACCTTGCAGCAGTTGATGAGCAACAATACGACAGGCCTATTAAAAGCAGAAGCATTGCCAAAAGAATGGAATATGAATGGTCAACAAAAGCTTTTTAGAGACTTGACCCCATGGGACACTTGTACTAAACCCCGATTTGCAGCATTTCTTAACTCTACATAGTATGTACATACCTGCAAAGCAAGGAACTCCTGTAAACATAAACACAGAAACATTGATACAACAAGGAATCTGTAATGGTTCTAATCCAGATATAATCTACCGTTGTGCTCCTTGCTCTCTCTGGTATAATTATACCAATCAGAACTTTAAATGGCTCCCTAAAAACATAGACCAAGGATTTTTGCTATATTCTGGACTTCCAGGAATGTGGTGCATCGAGAGGAAACCGATAAGTATTAATGCAAATTATTTAGTATACTCCCTGTATCAGAAATGTGTCAGTGACAGTATGATATATAATACAGATATTGTAATTAATGGTATAAAAGCTCAAATGTATGTTTTAATCGCTAATGAAGATAGACCTTGTGAATTTCAGAATTGTACTTCACAGAATGTTGCAGAGATGCCATTTGCAATCGCAGCATGGCCTACTAATAAAACATTTTTAGATATTACATATAAAAATATACAAAATAGTGATCCAGATGAATGTAACATGAGAAGTGTGTCTCGCAGAAGAAGGACTTTGTTAACCAATGCAAACTCCTTCCTATATACTGGCCAATTACTTGTAGAAGCTATTCAGGTTGTATCCCATTATTCTGATCTAAATGATGAATTGCTACGTCAAGGTATATTGATTCTTAAAGACCACCTGATAACGCTTACTGCAGCATTAATATATGATATTTCTACACTAGAAGAAAGTGTGAAAATATCTATGTTGAATCAGAAGATTTTTGATATTCGATCTAATTTACAAAATGGTTTAATTGATACAAGTCTGGTTAACATAACTAAAGTGCTTCAAAGGTTAAAATTAACTAAGAAACAAATCGAAGTGTTGTTGCACATTTATCAGACCTTTGTTTATGATATCAGAGAAACAAAACATTTAAACAATGCCAAGGTTAGCCAGTGGGAAGTTAAAATTTATTATGAGTTAACTCTTCCAGGTGAAATATACACCACGAATTTGAAGCTTGATAATATAGGTCACCTGCTACAAACAGGTGAAAAGTTGGCAAAGATAACAATACAACATCCATATCAATATATATCAAAGACATGTGATCAGATATATTATTTGTCTGTTTCTAGATGCCAAGAAAAAAGTTATGTAAAATGTGAAGATGTAAAAGTACAGACTCCTTGTGGAAATAATCCTGCCACATCAGCTGATTGCTTACTTAATATAGAACCAATACAAAATGATTATCTGTACTTTGAATCTTTAAAAAATGGTTCTTATTTAATTATGAGTCCTTATTCAGATTGCAAGTTACCTGCTTTACAACCGTTAATTGTAACCACGGATTATGACATTTACTGTTATGGAAGATTGTTAAAATCTCCTTTACAAAATTATAAACTAACAGATATCGTTAAAATACACATACCCCCAATATCTTTCAAACTTCCATATATGAGTGCTTTCTTGGCTCACATACAACAATTCAAAATCACCTTATGCTCCACCCACGAGCAAGTGCAAGATATATTAATAAGAGTTAGGCTTTCTCTTCTCAATATTCAAGACCACAAGAGAGATTTCCCATACTGGCTGAAAGAACTTGGTAAGATATTGACTCCTATTTTACCTTCAATTGGTAAAACTGTTCAAAGCATAGCTGAATCTTTAGAAAATCTTGTTAAAGGGGTAATAGGAACAGGATTTAGTATTTTTTGGTATTTGAAAACAATAATGATAACTATAATTATTATATTTTTACTAATTGTAACTTGGAGAATAATTTCTTTTCTCCCTCACAGGGCAAAGAAACCTCCTGCAGGAGGTCAGATACCCTGTTAGTCTGTTTGGAAAAGGGGAGAGATGTGACGAGACCAATCTCGCCACATTGCATTGGAGAAGCCTGGTTGCTCGCCTGCTGCCTTTGGACTATGGCCCCCTGTTAAAAGACATCTTTTTTTACCTGCAGAAAAGCTTAATTCGTGCTTTTCTGCCTGGGGTTCGGTAGATTTGTTTGAATGTGTTATACCCCAGATAGGAATCCCATGGAGCCCATTCATATGAAACTGACTGTAAAGACTTTGGCTCCATGGCAATTAAACTGTATTTGTGTGGTCTGAGCGCCATTCACTTAATAATGTGCGCTCAGACCTGAGCTATCTGGGGATATGTTAAATGTATAGTTTTAATGTAATATGTCTTACCTGGTATATTTTAACAGTAATGCTTGTTTTGTGTCACCATGTGCATAATGGAGTCTTGTCTCTGTCCTGGGAGATAATTTCATTACTTCTCAATTATCTCCTGGGCAGAGGAGAGGAAGCCAGGATGCATTGTGGTAAAAAGGGGGAGGGAATCTGTGGGTTGTAACTAATATGTTACTGGATATTTTATACCTCCCTGTGGGCGGTCCAGTATTTGCAAGACTGTAATAAAAACCAGGCTGGGTGTGCCAGCACCTCAGACCACTGCTTGACCCTCAACACGGAGCCTTGTCTCGTTCTTGGGGGGATTCACTGTATGCTGTTAGAGACTGATTGCCAGGAGTGTAAGCCGCTTGGGTGCTTTTCCTGTTCGCCTGCTAGCAGCTATTTGGGAGGTTCCAGTTCGGGAGTTGGAGTGCTATTTTGTATCCAGTTTGGGAGTTTGGTGTTCTGCAGTAGCTGTGCCTGTATCTCTGGAAAGGGGGCCGATCGCCTAAACGTTTTTTACCCCTTTTGTGCAAAACGGTCCGTTACAACAGGTGTCAATCCATATCTGCCAAGTGACCCTATGTAGGGGGAACAGTCTATATTCTGCTCTGTGTCAGTGTGTATCAGGGGCTTTGAGGACAGATGTCAATCCATATCTGCAAAGTGACCCTATGTAGGGGAACAGTCTCTATTCTGCTCTGTGTCAGTGTGTATCATGGTCTCTGAGGACAGGTGTCAATCCATATCTGCCAAGTGACCCTATGTAGGGGGAACAGTCTCTATTCTGCTCTGTGTCAGTGTGTATCAGGGGCTTTGAGGATAGGTGTCAATCCATATGTCAAGGTGTCAATATGTCATATGTCAGGTGTCAATCCATATTCATTGTGATTTAGGAATGTTAGGTGATTTCTGTCCTTTATGGATTAAAACCAGACTCTGCATCAATTGTGTAATTTTCCATGGGAGTTTTGCCATGGATCCCCCTCCGGCATGCCACAGTCCAGGTGTTAGTCCCCTTGAAACAACTTTTCCATCCCTATTGTGGCAAGAAAGAGTCCCTGTGTGTTTTAAAATCCACCTGTCCATTGAAGTCTATGGCGGTTCGCCCGGTTCGCCAGTTCGCGAACATTTGCGGAAGTTCGCGTTCGCCGTTCGCGAACCGAAAATTTCGTGTTCGCGACATCACTAGTTAAAAGCAGTTCATATATAAAAATAAAAGAAAAACACCCTTATCAGTCTAATGTCATAACTAGTGATGTCACGAACCCGAAATTTTCGGTTCGCGAACGGCGAACGCGAACTTCCGCAAATGTTCGCGAACCGGCGAACCGCCCGAAACGCCATTGACTTCAATGGGGAGGCGAATTTTAAAACACACAGGGACTCTTTCTGGCCAC